GTAACGTCGCGAAGAAACGGGAAGGTAAAGTTACTGCTAGAAGAAGAAGGGGGCGGTAAAGGGGGGAAAAAGGGGCTGAGAAAAGGTCGAAACGAAATGGTACGCGATGCGACCTGGACTAAAGCGACTAAACGAAGCACTCGTTCGGCTTGGCGTCTCGACGAGTTCCGCTTTAAAGATAACGAAGCGAGTTCTTCGCGGAATAAAGGTACGTAATCGCTGCGGCACCTGTCGAGTGTTTGTCGAGACTGTCTCAGCTAGGGCGACGGGAGCGACAGGTGGCTTCGTTCCCTCCTTTCCCTCTTTTCTCTCTCCCCCAGCCCACGTTGACCTCCCCCCTCTTCTTCTTCCCTTCATACTTTCTGTCTCACGACACTGTGTCTACCTTTCTCGCGGTATTACCCTCATCCGTCTTTTTCTCCCGTCTCCCTAGCTTCCGAGGCCGCGACTCCACCACTCGCTCGGGGGTGTGATTTAAAGTGTAAACTTAAATATTCCAGTCGGCGCCGCCGTGCAAATAGATTCGATATTAATGGAGCTTCCACGTCTTGAAAACCGGGACCGAGGAGGTAAGAAAACTCGCGCGGACGATTCACACCCTCCATGCGAGAAAATCAGGGTTTACTCTCTAGGACGCTCCTGGCGTTCTTTTTTTGTCGTATGAGGGAAAATACGACGCTGACGGCTGCTGAGTGATCCATGGATACCTCGAGGGAGATTCCTTGGGAGCCTCCAAGTTTTTGTGCCAACCTACCGTCGTAATTTATGAAATTTCTGAACGTACACTTACCTGCATCTCTCTTACGATTCTTCGCATAGACTATTATTATAAGACTATGACTAACTCAGTCAAAGAAGACTATGATTAACTCGATCCAAGTCTTTGATCGTTTCCAGCATCTCTTTATCTCTTCCACGCTCTTTCTTTCTCTCTCTCCCTCTCTCTCTCTCTCTCTTTCTCTCTGCAATCACACAAACCTGCATTTGCATCACGTCGTTCTATACCGAAACGGTTAACAATCGGAATAAGGGGAACGGTAACAATGGATAATAAAGAAATATAGCTCGTTAGAGAAAAATAAAGGAAGCTTTATTCTTTACATACCATAGCAGGCGATACGAGTCGATAGCGCGTCAAGGTCCCCGGGGGCTTCCGCCCCGCGACG